CATGTTTCTAAACCTCCCATTTTCCTTATTATCCTGTGAATAATCCTGTTTGTCTACTTATTGATGATAAAGTATTCCAGACAACTCTATAAATGCAAAATGAAATGGAATAATTGCAACATATTCCCGTATTCCTGCCATGCAGGGTGTGTCTTATTGCATGTAGCTACCTGTGTTTTTCTGATCTAGAGTTCAGAGACCTCCCAAGCCTCGGGTTATCTATATAATTATAAATATACTCTCAGTTCCCCCCATCACTGGGCCTGTTCTTGAAAAAGTTAAACAGAAGGACCGGGAACTGTCTAGAAGAAGCCAGAGCATGACAATGCAAGGCTAGCTGCTCCCTCAGGGCCAGGCGCCAGGAGTCACAGGGGATCCTGCAAGAGCAGCAGACAGGGCCTGGCAGCCCATTCCATCCCACCCCTGCCAGGGACTGGGCAGCTGGTGGCTTTTGGGGCAGCCACAACTCCAGGCACTGTCACCTCCTCGGGGAATTGGGATAGCCTAAGGCTGGGCCAGGATGGCATTCTGGGTGTCAGGGCTGGCACAGGGGGCCCATGGCCAGGAAGCACAGTTGGAGACCAGCCCCTGGCAGTGCTGTGGCAGAGACTGATAGCCCTGGAGGCTGACATGGGTTTTGTGCAGGCTGGGAGAAGGTCCTAGTGGAGGCCAGACAGGGGCAGTCAGGTCCATCCAGTGCTCTCATCTCTTACAGGCTGCTCTAGGAGGGCACTGCAGGCTGTGAGCCAAGCATGGCCACAGCACAGAGAGTGACCTTGCCAACAGGACACAGCCCTGCAGCATCTCAGCAGGACTGGGTCAGTGATACTGACAGTCACAGCAAAGCAAGGAATGAAAATAGATTCCGTGGTCCAGATAAGAAGAACAAGAGACACCTGGAGACAGGACTACAATGTAGGTCCAAGATCTGTCAAGGAGACAGGGCTGGAGAGAAGACAAGAGACAATGCTACCTTCCACACAGGTCCTCAGTAAATGCAGGAAAATCAGTCAGCAAGACAGGGCTGCAGGAATCACGCTGGGAATGAGTTCAGTGTTTGAATAGCTCAGGCCTGAGCTGACCCAGAGCCCCAGAGCTGTCAGAGCAGGTACATGGTGCTGGGGTGGGCAGGTTGGCTAGGGCAGAGCCTTGACAGAGGGAAACAACTGAACAGTGATTGCAGAGTTGTAACCAGATAATTCTTTAAACATGCTAGAAACTACAAGGCAAGCATCATCTTACGTAGAACAAAACTTTTCCGAGTGAAGACAATGCCCATGGAAACACCATGTGGTTAGCAACAGTCACTTTTCTCCCCAAATTCTGTTGATGTTCATGGCTCAGAATGTGCAAGCCAAGCTCGAAACACAGAAGGAGGTGCATCCAGACCTGGAGCTCTTCCCAGGCTGAAGGTACATGTTCTGTCCTGTTTCCTTTAAACCTATCAGGTCTTCAATGACAGGAGTCCCCTGCTTCTCTCATTTATGGTTCAAGTCCAGAAACCATATATTAAGCAGTTCTTATTTATTTCAGAGTCTGTTCTGAACATCTTTGTGTCAGCTTTGCCATTTCTTTGGTATACAATATTTTATAGTTTCCATTTTTGATCCCTTAGCATACTTTTCCTTCCATTAAGACTTTCTGGACTATCACACTGCCACAGAGTTGTTGCCATGCCAAAGCTTCTGATGCCAGTATCTTATGTGCATGCTTCTTTTCCCTAATAAATGAAAGGTAATTCAAAATACTTTGCTCTCGGTGAAAGAGCAATGAAGCAAATTACCCTTCCTCTTGTTTAGGAATCTGAAACACAATTATGATGGAGTAGCTAATGCATGTTACCCTATTAGTAAAGGTAAGTACACCAGATGAGTGAGTATTTGGTTTATGATAACCTACTGAAATGACTCAAATCTTGAGACTACTTGTCTTCCCACCAATGAATCTGTTTTGCTTTGTGCATACACAGTGAAACATAAAAAGTAACTCTGAAGTCAGAATAAAAGAGGGAGTGAGGCAGGCTGCCAGAGAGTACACACAAGATACTGCAACAAATCACTCCAGCAGTACTGTAATTGGAGGCAGGATATACATCTCTGGTATATCCAGCAAACTAGGTCATGTTGTGAGAAGTAAGAACTCCTCTGTTGTGCTCAGAGTCATACTAGGCCATCAAAATTGGTTGTGACAAAACAGAGATTAAGCTGAAGAGAATTTTACGCTGCTTGAAGCTGACAAGCTGCCTCTGGACAGTGCCAGGCAATATTGTTTGCTTGCTGAAACAACTATAACTCGTACCCACTGCACCTGGAAATCAGGTGTGGAATAAGTTCATGACAGCTAAGAGATAGGTCCAAAAGACAACATAAATTCCTTTGATGATACATTGTTTTGCTATATGATTTTGTATGCTCTGTGTCAGCCTGCATCAACCAAAATATTTCTATGCCGAAGCCAAAAGGAGCAGAGAGTTTCATTTCTCATTTTTAATAAGGTGTACAGTGTCCCTGTTACTTTGCCAGTAAGAAGCAGAAAGCCAGAGGAGAATGTAGACGGGTGTAGTACTGCATGATTTTTGTTACATATAACATGTTAGGTGAAGATTAAGTGGCTGAATACTCCCATTGGGTAGAGGATCCAAGGCAAGCCTAAATCGGCTAAACTTTTATGTTTGATCTCTGGTATACCTGCATTTAATTTTTAAAAATTATGGCCATGGAAACCACAACAGCATGAGAAGAAAAAAGAAGGCAAGTCCCACAGATCCTGGCAAAAGCCTCCCTCCCTACAGTACAGGTGGGCACTGAGGTTGTGTTTCCAGATCTGGGAAAGATCAGCAGGATTGAATGGAGCACACAATAAGGAACCCTGAGCTTGCTCCACTACCCCATTCTTGTGATTTGCCCTCAGAGATCAACAAGACCTCAAATTATTATGAAATAATACAATTGTGTCCCACAACTGATATAATAGGTGGATGAGAATTTTTATCTTGTTTGTGGTTCCAAATACAGGAAGAAAGGCTATGGCTCATGAATGCCAGGCAATATTACCCTGAGTGTGTTGGACAACAGTGTAGGTTTTGCAGATTGTAGCTGTGGTAATGTTGTACTTGCTGACTCTCAGCTATGCCAAACAGGATATGGTGTATCTAGTTTCCACAGAGGACAAGATGGGTGAGACAGGACTAGATGGGGTAGCAGCACAGAAGTAGGTGTGTTTCCACTCAGAACCTGTGGTGCTTTGTGACTTTCTTCTTCATCAAGTGTGTCATTAGCTCTTGGCTGGGAAAGAACATGATCCCACTGCTGAGATTCGGCAATCTTGACCACCTTGGTTGCAGCCTGGAGCAAGCCAGTTTGGCTTACGGCACACTGGAGTCATCTGCCTTAGCACTGACCTAAGTGGTGAACAGTTACAGAGCCCCAAGACTGAGTTACAACTTTTGTCTCATCTGTGCCTCTGTGGAGTGTGTATCTCTCTTGTTCATTTGCCTTGACATTCAGTGATCTGCCTGTGGCGTTGTTGTTATTTAGTCAGGTTGATACAGACACCAAAAAGTGGTGGTGGGTGGTGGCTCTTAGGACTGCAGGTGAGTTACAGACGTGAGCAGCGTGTCAGGAGGACATAGGGCATAGGACAGCCAATGTTTCTAAGGGAGTTCATGCAATGCAGTGTGAAGTTCTTTAGGACACTGCTGTGGGTGCTTCAGTTTGTCCCCTCTCCGGGACACCACTAAGGATACCCAATCCTAAATATGATAAGTGTAACTGATGGGATTCCTCATTTACACAAGATTTAACTACTTAACATAAGCCCCTAGGATCAGGATTTATATTGTATTTCTTTATGGCCATAGTATCATTTGCATATCTTAAAAAGATGTATTGAGGGGATTAATTACATTTAGGAAGCACATACTGGTGAACTGACTTAAAGTACTTCTAAAGAGTTGTATCAAAATAGTATCTGATAAATTGTACTCAAAACGTTTGAATAACTCTAATGTAGCTGGAGGGGAACTATTTTTCCGAAAATATTGTAATCTAATTTATACTGTGCATAGGTTACATTTTCAAGTTTCTACCTTTGAAGATTACAAACATTTATGTTGACATTTTTCTTGTTCTGTACCTGCTTAAGGTGGCAATAATTCCACTTTATTTCTGTCAAGGTTAGATTTTTCCTCCATTTTTTTCCTTTGGTGAATGGATTTTATCTTTCTGACAATGTGGGAGATGCTACTCTCTCCTCTTTTGCTCTATCCTGCCATTTTCAAAATCACTCTTTTGAATTTTCAGTGCTTTTTAAACTGCTTTGCATTTAGTGCATATCTAACTTGCAGTCAGTGAATATTTGCTCGCTGTAAAGGTCCGCTTTAATTTCACTGCTTTCACAGGTGAGTTAGTATGGCTCTTACTCAGTCCCGTTCCTCCTGTTTCTTTCTGCAAAGATTCCGGGAGGAATGGTCGGGGTCCGACGTTTCGCCGCTGCCTGTGAAAACGGCTCGACGGGCCGGTGCGGCTGCCAGCGCAGGGCTCGCCCCGGCCGGGCAGAGCAGAGCTGGGCAGGGCTGGGCTGGGTAGGGCAGAGATCCCGCTCGCCCCGCGCAGTCCCGGCCGCCCGCGGCAGGCGGCCCCGGAGCGCCGGGGCTGCGCCGGATCCGCCGGCTGCGAACAGAGCGCGGGGAGCGGCGGGGTCCCGGGACGGGAGCGGCGCTGCCGGGGAACGGGCCCCGGAGAACCACGCGGGAGGGGTGCGGAGGAGCGGGGGACCAGGTCCAGGATGGCCGGCGGGATGGGCGGGGGGCTGGGGCGAGGAGAGGGACCCTGCCCGATGGCGAGGTCGCGCAGGGCTTGCTGAGACCTTTCCTGACCCCGCTTAGTGAGGAGGCGGCGTTGTCCAGCACAGGTGCCGCCTTTCCCCGGCAGCTTCTCCCGGCGGGGCAGCGTGGTCTGCCCCTGCAGCTCTGGGATCTCCTCGCCTCCTCGGAGAAGCGAGAGGCAGAGCGGGAGCGGGCGGCGGAAGATGCTGTGCCTCACGGCAGCCTTCCAGTTGCTGCTGGTGCTGGTGCTGTGCAGCCAGGGTCTAGAGAGGTGTCCTTCAGCCTTCTGCGAGTGCTCTGACTGGGAGGACTACAAAATCACTTGCAGGGACATCTCCTTTATTCCCAGCCTTCCGGAGGACACCCAGACCCTGTGAGTACATTGGGATGGTTTAGGGAAGCCTGCTGGGAGTATTTATTCTTTGCAGGCAGGAGATGCTCTGAGCTGATGTCCTTTGAGATAAGGAAGTGGTGAGAGGGGTCAAGTGCTGCAGATTACCTGGGCGGTACAGGATAGCGGGAACAGCAGTGTGCAGACTGCGTGAGGCAGGAGGAGGTAGGAAAAGTGATTCTCAAACCTTAAAGGGCTGTGAAGAGATGGTTCATTGGATCTTAAGAGTTCTGTGTAAAATATGGGAAAATAAGTAACTGGGTTGTTTGTGGGCAAAGTGAGCAGTAGGCTGGATTCTGTGTGGCAAGTGCTTAGAGGGTGAGTGGAAGGAAAGGTAGATAAAACAAAATTTTGTGATTAAAACCTAGTAGGTATTGGATGTGTCGCCTCACAAAGAGTTCCACAAAAGGCTCTATGCATTTTCAGCTTCTTTGCCAAGCCAGGAAAAAAAAGCCCATGGATATTGAGAATCCAAGTATAGTGTCTGGGAGAGAGAGTACTTCAGGTGGAAGTGTGGAGCATGGGATAAAGCAGCAAATTTAGAGCTTGCCAAAGTGATAGAGTAATTCAGGTACCTCAGCCTAAGTGTTTGGTACGTTACAGGCACAGTAGAAGGTCTTGTCTGGGTTCTTGCTGCCAAGCCAGATGAGTATCTTGTGTCATATGGCACCTGTCAGCTAAAACTGAGCAGATGAATCACTCCTGGCTTTTACTTTGTTTCTTGAGGTTAAAGTTTTATAGTCTCTATGGGAAGGTCCATTTGTAAATATAGATCACTTTCTAATAAAGTAAATGAACTCAAACTCAGTTGATTTAATTGCAAGGTAAAACAGTAACATATTGATTGCTTTATGTCTTGATAATGATTCTCAGGACTTTATATAAATAAGAATCATTAAATTATTTGAACTTATTTGAATGCTTCTCAGATTTTTTAGCACTGAAAGTAAAAGCTTAAATTGGTCACTTGCCTAGAAAGAAAGGGAAAAAAATTATGTTATTTCCATTATTTTTGCTTGCCTTTAATTTTTTGGATGGTTAGACTGCAGTATTTCACTTAATAAGATTTTAAATCATACAATTTTTTTTGTTATTATGCTTTTATATACACGGTTTATTTAGGTTGAAATTGCAGTAAAATGTTATGACATGCACCAAGTAGTATGTTCTTTGAAATCTACCATGACAAGTTAGAAAATATAGCAGTTTCAGTTTATAGGAGAAAATGCCTTTGTACAGGCATTTAATATAGTTAATAGAAACAATGAGATCACATAATGAAATTTGATACCTTCCTTGAAATATGCTGGTTTGATGGGCTGAGAAGTACTTCTCCGAGTACAAGCTCCACAAATAAAGCACTTTGGCCACTGGAATTCTAGTGTTTTAAACACCTGTAGTAATGGGGGGCTGTCAAATAATAAGCCATTGTTTTGAAAAGACAAAAACACCCTTTGAAGATCTTCTTTCCATGAGAAAAGTAATTAACAAAAACAACTGAGAAATATTTTTCTGTTTATTTGGCGTGAGATTTAATCATGTGTACCTATTAGAGTGACCATTGCAAACTTTTCAAGAAATGTACTCCCTGCCATGTCAAGAAAATATTCCAGGTAGTGACAATTGTGAGTTTATAGTGTATGGCAGAAGCAGTACAACATGTGCTGCATAGTATTTTATTTGAAAGCAAATGGGAGAATTATCTGAGGAGATAAGGAAAACAGAGTTCTTTTCACACACAACCCCCCCAAACAAACAGACAAACAAAACGCAACCCAATCAAACACAAAAAACCACCACATTTTTTTACTTCAGTTTGAAGTTTTCTCTCTGGATAAAGTGTGCTTATTTTTCTTCTTTTATTTGAATTGCTGAAGTCTGGACCTGATCCTGTGGTCCTTGCTCTCTGTAAATGTCTTAATATTTCTTTCCCTCCATATGTTAAATGGGAGTCATAACAGTTACCTATATATGTTTTTTGTTCAGAGTGCTTTCAGATGCTTCAGACTGGATTATTTACACGTAGCAGTTCAAACAACACACAGAATTTCGTGAGAGATTGTAAACTGTATGCCCCTGATTCCATCATCTTTTCATTCTTTTGCTGTACAATAGGCAGCAGTTCTGAATCAAGGACAAAAGATTCCAAAATAATTGAAGTTTCTGCTAACCTTAAGAACAAATGAACTCCTCTCTGAGATGAAATATGTAGCTGTACATATCTGCACATTTTATGTTGAAACTCTCTATAATTTTCCCTAAATGCAGCAAGTTTGTTACTTTAGGCAAAGTAATTCTGCTTCTTGGTGGTAACATGTGAACCTCAAGATTGCCAATTTAAAAACTTTTTTTGTGTGGCTATTCAGTTTTGTAAGGTTTGTAGGACTAAGAGACTGGTGAGTCTAGGTACACTTTGCCAGCTTTTGGAGATGATGAGCTCTTTTCAGTGCACAGGATCTTGAAACTCCAATTAAAGTTTTGTTCTAATTATTCAGTCAGAACTGTTCTCATTTCTCTTCTCTTCTTTAAGAGAATGGGGTAAACACTTCTTAAAGAAATGCTTATAAGAAATTCCAATAAATGTTTATTTCTAACTCTTTTAGTAGAAAAGTGACATGAACTTAAACAAGAAAAGCCTGTTTATTTTAAACTGTTATTTATCCAAATATAGTTAATGCAGACTCTTATGCAGAATGCCTGAATGCACAGATATTGATCTTGAAGTTGTTCTTTTATCAGTACAATATTTTTTTTTAGTTTACTTTCACATACAGATCACCAAAACCACACTGAACTTTTTTTCAAATATATAATTGCATTATAATTATTGAACTATTGTAATATGCTTCTTGGCATCATTATAACATATTCAGATGGTATCACTATCCCAGCATCACCTCAATGCACTTCTCAATTATTTTCATTTTATAAATCTATTTATAATTGCTTTTAATTATTTTTCTTTTATTTGACAATAAAAGTAATGAAGTTTTGTTTCTTATGTAGTGTGCATTACATCTCCTGTATTCACCTACTAAAATAATTTAATCTCTCCCTTCCCTTCCCTTCCTTTCCCTTCCCTTCCCTTCCCTTCCCTTCCCTTCCCTTCCCTTCCCTTCCCATGTTAATAAGGTTTCTATCCTGTACCCAGGTGCTATTTTAATATCAACATAATCAAACTTGATTGAAATTGAACAAGAGGATATTAGGCAAGGACAGTGGAATATAAATAAATAGGTATATAAATAGACACAAAACCAGTACAGACTTCAAGAATATGCTCTTTACACTAGGTATTAAGCTACAGTTCTGCATTTGCTCCAGTATATATGCCATAGGTAGAATATTGCCTTTTTATTAATGCCCACATATTCTGTATATTCTGTAGGTAATAGAGAATGACTACACATTTTGAAATAACGTTTTAGTTGCAATTAATTAATTTTCAAAAAAATATTTAGTTATTTTCATTTGTCAAATCATTTGACAATTTCTGAAGACAAAGCCAGATTTGAACCGTCTTAAAATAATTAATTTTTTTTTTAACAAACACCATTATACTTACCAAATCCATGAAATTGTTTTATCAGTTGTCTTTCAGGCAATGATTTAAATAATTCTGTGTACATGGCTGCAACATAAAATGTTTCCTAAATACTATATTTTACATAAAACTATACATTCTTGTAAATTCTGATACTTTTTGTTATATTTACCTACATATTTTACTTAGAAAAGCATGGTATTGCTTCTATAATCCTGATATTAACATACAACAATCCTACATTTGACATACATTATGTCCAATACACTAGGTCAAAAATTAGTATGTATTATTGTCTCAGTTGTGAAATGTTAAAGGGAAAGGATTTGTTCATAATCCCAATGGTAAATTGAAGCACTGTTCTAAGAGTTCTTGAAGTAACTTACAAACTGTGCTCTGCTTTACTCTACATACACAGGCCAACTCAAAGTGAGCAGGTGAAGAACAGGAATGAGGGACTAAGGGAACAGAGAAACTACTAAAGACCAAAATAATATCTTGTGAACATTGAATACAATATTTTCTTTCATTCCTTATCATTCATTGTATAGGTAACATTTATTGTACATTTGGAACATTTAAATTTCCCGTGTTGTGGCACAGAAACCCATCAAGTGCTAGGAATTGTACAAGCACAAACCAAAAAGCTGTTGCCATTCCTAGTCAAAACAATCATCACTCCAGCATTTTTTAACTACACACATAGCTTGCTCGACAGAAAGCAGAAGGACTGCAAGTAGTTCTTTTGTAAATGCTGTGAAGAGATTAACCTCAATGAGAATATCACACATTTTACAGAAGACACTGGTGATAAGGCAGTAGAAATTCATTTGTATCATTTCCTTGTTTGAGAAGATGATGAGTTTTGATCATCACAGTAGCGAAAGAGCTTATATCAGAGTTAAAAATCTCTTATTTTTTGAGTTGATTTCAACAGTGGTTTAACAGACTGATTATGTAAGTGTTACACTACACTGAATCTTGAATTGCTACTATAGTCAGTTTTCATTACAGTGTTTTCTTTTGACATAACATTTCCAACCCATTACACTTCAGAAGCACACAACGGCCTTCTCTTGAACTGGGAAACAGAGCTTATTGATACATCTGTAAAAGGAATTAAAAAAGCTTAAATTTTACCCCCCTCGGCCCCCCCAAAAAAAATCCACGTGACTGCTAAGGAATAATTTACAAACTTTTTGCAAATAGCTCATCTCAGATAAGAGGGCAACTTTTCATTAATCTGACTCATACAGTCTGTTTATATATTTGCAAAATCAATAAATGTTTGATGTTTTCCTTAACATGGCTTTACAGAACCTGGAAACAGTCTGTAGAAAATGATTATATTTTGAAAACAGGACTGTCTCAGGAAGTATTTTAAAAATGTCTAAATCATCTGCCTTCATCACCAAGTGTGACTGAACCTTTGCACATG